GCGATGAAAGATGAATATATGTATTATGATGTAGCGAAGATTTCAAGAGTTAATAAATTCATAAAAATTTCGTTTCGTGTAAATAAAGTTTGGGAGGGAAAGTTCCAAAATATTGAAATAGAAGTTAGAACTAATTGAGTTAACAAACATTAAATGATTGTGTGATTAATGGTTAATAGATTAATGGTAATAAAGAAAGATATCAGTCAGTCAGTCAGTCAGTCAGCTACAACGTAGGACCAGGCACATATGTGAATCGGTCCAGGTTGCCATACCTCATTAGCACAGCAAGATGAACAGCGGATTCATAGGAGTGGTTAGGTCAAAGGTTGCAATAAGGATATAGTATAGGAAGAAAGAATTAGTTCGTAGACAGAAAGAATGAAGTGATTTTAGTCTCTTAGTTTAAGGGAAGACAGGGAGTGTATACACCGACGCCATTGTGATCGATTCTGAGCCATGTCACCAAGAGTCTCCAACCATTGGTTACGAAAGTCACGCGGACCCCAACCAAGTAGTCTGCATCTACCAACATGGCTCAGACTAGAAGTTAGTGACTTCAAGCACTGATGCCACGTTTTGGTTTGGCCGCCCCTAACTTTCTTCCAACCATCCCCTACCCCGGTTAGCATTGCACGTCGTGGTAATCGGTGTTCAGGCATACGTAACACGTGGCCCAACCATCTCAGTCGATGAAGATTCATAACCTCATCAACTGATATACCATCATTCCCTAATACCCTGCGTCTAACCTCACTATTACTTACCCGGTGATCCCAGCAGATGCCAGCAATATTTCTAAGGCATCTGTGGTCAAATACTAGTAACTTACGGGTGTCTTCTACTCTTAATGGCCATGTTTCGCTGCCGTAAATTAAAACAGATCGAACTGCCGCGCAGTATACTCGTCCTTTTATTGATAGACGGATATCTCGCCTTCGCCAAAGGTGACGTAAGTTGGCAAAAGCCAAACGAGCTTTTCGAATCCGTGCTGAGATTTCGTCAGACACCAACCCATTAGGGCTGATCAGACTTCCAAGATAAGTGAAAAGAAAGATATGAATTGGGATCAGTCAGTTACGAATTAAAAAAAAATGACAATGATGTAATTTAAACTTCAGAAAGAGTTGAAATAGTGAGTGACTTAATAAATGAAAAATAAAAGGGGGGGGGGTAATGTTACCAGAGCAAAGAAAGATTTATTACTGTCTCTTTTTGCATACGGAGATCTGGTTTTAGACGTTTAATTGCTATTGCTTCGGCAAATTTCAAAAGGTTGGAATTTCATTGTTTGTTAATCATCTTGAATGACTGTAATGTATCGATTTCATATCGTGTGTCAAGATGTCTTGTAATGTCACTGCTAAATGTTTCTAATCCATTTGATCTTAAACTTTTCGAAATATCTTTTTTGAATCAGACGTAAACTCTTCTTTCTCTTCTACCACTGTAGCTACTTTGGCAGATAAAAGGAACTATGTGTATGAAAAATAATCTTATTCTTTGAAGTAATGCTGAATGTAAGATTTAAAGAACTTTTTAATCTCATATCGAATCTATTTTGTGTTAAATTTAATATGATTTTTTTGAGTCAGTTTTTCCTAATGCTACAGAATTTGCAGTTTACATCATTTATTCAGTGTTAACTTTAAGTTCAAATAGGTTCTAAAAAGGGAGTATGTATGATAACTTTGACGAGGTAAAAGAAAATCTACAATTGCACAACACTTGAATCTAGATTAACAAGTGACTTTGAATTATCAAGTGATTTTTCATACACATAGTTCCGTTTATCATTTTGAAGAGAGTAAGAACAGAGATCTTAGCAGAATACCATGAATACATATTATTTCGTTTGGTTCTCATTAGATTTCTTCAACCTGTGATATTTAAAAACGTAATTACAAAATGGGTTTAAATTACTTATATCAAAGAGTTCAGTCAGATGGTATTTTAAAAACACATCAATATAGACCTCAATCAAAAACCTAATAATCTCCACAACCCCTATACTAGTAATTAACATGTGCTCACTAGTGATTAGCTTCGTGAGGGAATTCTCGGGGTTCTAATGAGAAGCCGTGATCAGTGGAGCTAATCCATGTCGGGTAGAGACAGGTATCTACCTCAGTACAATGTAAGTTGGTCGCGGAATTTCGTGAATTGTTTGATGTTAGACACTATCACCATTGGATGCCGGCTCAGTGGTCCAGTTGGTTAAGCGTTCACGCCTGAGACCGAAGACCCTGGGTTCGAATCCCGCGGGCGGGATCGTGGAAGTCCCACAATAGGACGAAACGGCCGTGCAGTGCTTCCAGGTTTCCAAAGGTGGTGGTCTAACATCAATCGTTTCATGATCTCAATCAAAAACTTAATAATCTCCACAACCCCTATACTAGTAAGGGTGTAAATACATTTAATAGACTGAATATTATAAATATATGCCTTATGTAAAGAACTTTCTACAACATATGATCATATATCAGTAAGTATTTCCTTTATATTAATTAAATTCCTTAATATATTAAATGTTAAATTCACTTGATGTTGTTTTACTTATATCTTCCCATTGTTATTGGCATATGTGCGTCTTGTGCGTTCTGCCTCGATATTGCTTTAGGTTACAAGCTTTATAAGCAAAGATAGAATTCAAAATGAATTCAAGACTCTTGTTTCATCTTATTTAGAACTCATCGGTTATGATTACTAAGGACTGAGTAATTCAAGTTCTTCTCGCTAATGATATAACGAATTATTTTTCTCTAAACCAGTTGTCTAGAAGAAGAAGATTACAATTTCAGCAAACCCTTTTTGAACTCACATTATATTTTCCTCCTAGATGATTTCTATTTCCTACTAATTCTTAATTTTAATATGTCACACACACACACATAAGCGAATAATATTGGCTTCAGTTAGATCATTATCAAGCTTTAATATAATGTTTAAGCACATCTACAAAGGTATATGAAAATATCAAACCAATTTATTATACTTAAATATCGTAGGGGGAGGGTGAAAATAATAGTCACTCAACAGGACAAGTTATAATCTCATACAGTCTTTTTAACTTCATCCGTACAGTTGGTATTATGAATTATGGGTATGAAATGGGCATCCCTTGTAAATGATCGATGCATCAATAATATATGATCCCGCCTGATATATGGTAATTCAGGCAATCACTATTGTTATCACTATTTGTACTGTTTATAACTATTTAATAATGATTTATTTCATAACGTTCTACAAATGTTTACGGAAATTTGGATACAAATGTTCTTTCTTATGTTAATGTGACGTTTTTCCCTGGTTAACTAGCTGAACGAGAATCAAGGATAAGGAATAAGTCTCTAGTTGACTTTTGTGACATATTGACATAAATTATAGATCCATTTAAATTTATAAAGTCCTAGAGATCTGTCTAATCTTAGTATCGACTCGTTCATAATTCTACACATAAAGCTCATCAACCACTGATTCTTAGATCAAGTGTTTAAATGTAAAACCATTTATGTTAAAATCCACATGACTTTTAGCAATTCGTTAATTCACAATTGACTTGAATAAAAGTTGTATTTGTAGAACGAGATAGCTATCCAGTTGTAGTGAGCGAGAACACAAATGGGGACAATCGAATGTCCCTGAACACAAAATTACAGAATCGCTTAGTAAAATCTGAGAACTATACAGTAAATACTTCATTTACCAAATATCAATCAATTGTCTCAAATTTGATTGTTCCTTCGTTTCCACAGCAATTACTTTCTGTTCTCGTGCTCTTTTTTCTTTATTGTTCTTAACATTCTACCACCAAGCATTTGACTTAATTGATGATACATACTACTTATATCTGTCAACATTAGTAGTACACATCACACAGTGATTCCTGGTTTTTTAATCATACTTCAACTTAGATTAATCTGTAAAGACTGTCTTTTCCAAATTAAGGAATCTTCTGAATCTACTGTAAATTATTTAAAAGATCTTTCAACAATTAATTTTTCAGTTTTGTCTTAGTTCATAGTATTTTCTTTTCTAAATAACCCAACTGAATTCAAACTTACATCTTGATTACCATTTTCTTGTATTCCATTCTCTAAATTAATCTAAGTTATAACATTTTATTCAACTTATTCTTGACGCCTTACTTAATTCATATTAATGATTTTACTATGATCATTTCTATTCGTATTTTATTATTACATTAATAAATACTATCTTTTTAATACTTCTGATTGTTGGCAACTATTGACAGTGTACTGCAAGTACTATATGATCCTGCCAATCAAATCATTGAGCTTGTCATTTATTTTCTTCCAAATTTATAAAGAAATAACATACATTCATAATGATTTTAAGTATTTTGCATTGAACTGTTACTAATAAAAACTTCATTTATACTACTTACTCAACATTAGACAGTAATATGCTATGACAAATAAATCTTTACCACGCACATATATAAGAGACATATATTATCTGAATTGTACACAATGAATTATCATTATCATTAATCCTACAATAGTATTTATCTCTACTCAGACATTAATCAAAGAATATTGTATACATTGGATTAAATATTCTTATTTCTAAATAGGTGAACAAATCGAATGAACACATTTAATCAACAACAAAAACAAACAGTAGAAAAACTCAATGAAAGTTTCTTCCTAGAACATTTTGTTCTCTTCTTTCTTTTTTTTTTTACAATTTCTCACTTATTTTTAACCAATGAAAAATGATGATTTCATGAAAGTAAGAAGAATAAAAAAAATTTAATATTAATATTAATTGAGTCCAAAGAACATTGGAAGAAATGAGAATTATTCAATAACAAATCAGAAAACAAAGAAGAGAACACCAACAACACGACAACGACAACGACAACGGTAGAATAGTTCTTTTACTGTTATCATTTTTGTTGTTGTTCATATATTTATATATGAAATAAGATAGTGTTTTGTGTCATAGTCACTAAGTTAACTCATTGGTACCCATAATATTAATAATAATAATAATAACAAGTATTACTATTCTTTTTGAAATATTCAAATATACTTGGAGTATTGGTGTATTGAATTTAGTTGTGAATAACAAACACTTGGAAATAAAAATTACAAATACATATATATATATATATGAACATATTGCGTGGGTGTGTATTTGTTATTTTTCTATATTAACTACAAGGAGATAATAATATAAATAATATAATTTAATTGTTCTGTAATTGAATTCATTGAATTTTAATTATTTCTATATACACGGTAAGATTTTCAATTTAATTATTCTTTTAATTATGATGAGCCCCGCGTGGTGCGGGATCGTGAATGCGCACTGCTGAGGAGTCCCATACTAGGACGAAACGGCCATCCAGTGCTTCCAGGTTTTCAATGGTAGTCTAGCTTCAACTGACTCATGATTTCAATCTGTGAAATTTCTAAAATCTCCACAAAACCCATTCTGATATGATGATATAATTATTTTATTGTTTACAAAAGAATTTGGTTTACTATGTTAATGAATTATTTTCAATTAAATTATATTATGTTAAGTATCATTATTAAGGTTTAACTTGATAATTCAAAATAAATTGTGCAATGACTAGATTGTTTTAAATTAATTAATATGTTCGTAATACCCTGGTATGGTCGAAAGTGGGGAGAGTCAGCTTGCCCTCTTGAAATGTACTCATATCGCTACGTATATAACAGCCAATGATAGGGAAGTCTTAATCACCGCCTTCTTCCGCCGCGTAGGTGTTGTTTATGAAACCAAGAGGACGAAAAGCGAGTATCTGACACTTTAACCTGGTTGGTGGACACGGAGAGTCAACCAAAGGGGGGTTGGAGAACCCTTATTCCAAATCCTGAAAGAAAAAAATGGTGTATAGACCAATTGTTGGGCACCGGCTACCATGATTCTGCATTTCCTAACGTTGCTCTACTGCCTTGTGGATCAAACCTTCAAGTGGAAGGCTCCAGGCGTGACCTCCTAATTAAACTATCTGCTTCGGTTTGGGCACATGAGCAGTATCCCATCCGTCACACAAACTGAATGATTTGTGTGGCACATATCTATTTGATGCCTCCTTGTATCAATGTTTATGTGTTTAAATAAATAAATAGATAAATAAATAAATATCCTAGTGAGTGGTTATTTACTTAGTCTCTGAAGAAGTGGCTTAGATTGAGTTACGAAACACTAAAAAATTTAATTTTTCTACTCATTAAGTTATTACAAATAGAATAATTTATTTTGTAGTATGTTAGTAAGTTAAGCTTCAGTTGTTTTGTTTTACTGTAGTGTTTTATATAATTAATTTCTTATATTATCATTGATAATCTAGAAATACGATATATGTCTGTGAATTTGTAGCGCATCAATTTTTTTTGTTTTATTATCCAATATCTGTGAGATAACAAGGTTTTTCAGATGTTTCTTTAGTTTATTTAATAAATCCACTCTTGTGTATGTAAACTTAATATTCACTGAAGATTTCATTTCATGCTTTGACTTTCATTTTATTTGTTGTTGTTGTGTTTTTTTTATCCGGCAATTTGAGATACGTTGCATTGGTGTATTCTTAGGAGATATATGTGTTTGATAGCATTGAATGATTAAAAGGATCTCTTGAGAAAATTATGTTCGTCTATGATATTCTTCCTCTTTGCTATCAAATAAACCCAAAACATTTTTAAGTGAACTAGTTTTGTTGAACACCGAAAACATTTTGGTTAATCTTATATAGAATCTGTAGAATAGTTTAACATTTCCTTAGTAATGTTATAATTAACAAAATAAGAATAATATTATGTGTATATTAGTGTTTTGTATGAAGGGGGTATTTATGACATAATAAAGAATAATTAAAGAGGTAAAGTGATTATATTGTTATTTTCATGTGATATTCCTCCTATAAGAAGTTATTCCCCCTTTGTACAAAATTTGACTTATATAACAAAAGTATAGACAATCATTACATGAAAAACTAGAAAAAAAATAATGTAAATATAACCAAGAAAAGAAGATGAAGAGAAGATAACAAAGTCTTTGTCAAAAAGATCAATTAAATTTCCTTGAATGTACTCAGCTGAGAAGTAAAACTTCATTGTTCCGGATAAATTCACTTGAAACAGTAATTATCAATCATTTTATATTAAATCTGAATGGATATTTTCTTTAATGGGATTATTAAGAGTATTATATATAAATTGAACTATTTTATAAATGAACATAAGCCTGTTGATATATAAAAACATAATATATGAACTAATAAATACTAATTATCTGCTAGTGTTCAGTTTTAGCGTGATTTATATTGACCTAACTATATATTCAGGAGAATATTTTTCTCAATCTAAACAATATCTTAATGAATGTATCATTATCAAGGTTTGACTTGATAATTTCGGATAAATTGAGTAATGGGTAGATTATTCTAAATAAATTAATCTATATGTAATATGCTAATAAGTAGAAAAATTAGATTTTCTGACATTTCGTGACTTTGTTTAAGCCACTTCTTCAGAGAATAAATAACCATATCAAAATTAATCTATGTACTTGGATTAATACTTAATACTTGTATTAATTTTGATTTGTTTATTTATTCCCTAAATAAGTAACTTAGACTGAGTCATGAAACGTCAGAAAATCTCATTTTTCTACTCATTTGGAATGTTTTACATATACTAATTCAGTTAATATCTTGATGAGTTCTAATATACAATCCAATAATTTACGGCTTGAATTATATTAGTGCATTTTCTTCTTATTTCTGTTAGTGCTAATGCTAGAGTTTTAAAAAAATATATGAAAATTGTCAAAATTCACTTCAGTAAACTAATTTTCATTTCATAAGCAAAGATGGATAGTGGATGGCAGTGGAATACAGGACGCGCGTTTCGTTCTACTTGGGACACGTCAGCTGGATGTACCTGTGTTTCAGGGTTGATGTTCACTCGGGGACTCCAACCCGGTACCGTGCACATCAAGCGCCATCTCATTATCCACTTAGCTACTGAGTCCTGATAGCCACTTATTTGTGCAATGAGGTGAAGTTTAAATTCACTTGGTGTCGTTTACTTGAGTCTTCCCATTAATTTTTAGGACTGCGATTGATCAGTCTTTTATTGACATATGTGCATTCTGTGTGTTCTGCCTCGATATTGCCTTAGATCATAAGCTTTATAAATGGAAAACACCAAATGATATTAAAATATTCATTTCTTTTAAAAGATTGACAATAATAATAAATTTGCATGAAAATTATGAAAGTCGCATAATTTTCTTTAATTGTTCTATTATGATATTCAATCAGCTAAAGTACTTATAAATGTACTTATACGATAACCTGTAATAAATGTTTATCTTTTTTAAACAAATACGCAAACGGATCTTAATTTTGTTTGTGTAACTCATTTATCAACTGATCAGTATGTAGGTCTTTGCAATCTAGATCTTGTCTAAGTTGACACTTGTTATTAGCTAGATGTACTTACAATGTGATATTAAAACTCATATTATGCAGCATCATAGTCTGAGATGAAAACATTGAGCTATTTATGCCTTTATTGACTTTCTGTAGAAATGAGTTTTAGGTAGATGACTTTTAGCGAATATTAAAATAAAAAGCTTATAATTTAAACCTAAAAACTATTAATTGTTATTTAACAGTTGAAATCATAAGTCAAATGGAGCCAAACCATCATGGAAAACGCGAATGCACTGGAAGGCCATTTCATCCTATTGTAAGACTACTTAGCAGTAAGCATCCACGACCCCACTCTGTGGGGTTCAAACCCAGGACTCATCGGTCTTGTGCACGAACACCCAACCTCTACATCACTGAGCCAGCATCCGACAGTGTTAACGCCTAACGTCAGGTTTTCCACGGGGATCTAGCTTCAATTGACTTATGATCTCAATTATTAAATAACTATAATATCCACAAAAACCCCTTTCTGATATCAATTGTTAGTTAAATCCTTTCCACATTGTTCTACTATTCATCTTCTACTGTAAACCTTTCTATTTAATGTTTATTATATTTTCCTAAATCATATTTATTCTTTAAAAAAATGAAAACAAATATCAATTACTGACAGCATGATGTTCAACAAACGAATAAATCATACTGTTATCAGAAAAAGACTTAATTATCTATTATATCCCCCCCCGCCCCGACTTAAATGTTGCCATGATTTAAAATAGAATAATTATGTTAACATGACTAAAATATTATTAACAATATGAAGCATTACGAAAAACCAGTTGATTATCCTATTACTATTATAAATAATATCTCGAAACAAATATGCATTTTCTATGTACACTACACTGAGTTGTTTTAGTACAGGCCTTATGTATATATACATACATGTAATTGATTTGAATAGTACGATACCATAGTGTGAAGAAAAAGGTCTAACAGGTACAGTGCTAAACATTGTAGTTTTATATTTCTGTTACTACCATGCTTCATTAAAAAAAAAAGGTTATTTGATGGAGTTTTGTTGTCTGAGATGGATCGTTTGGCCGTGGAGTTTTCATCGTTCTTCTGAATGACATCATTAGCACAAACTTCAGAAGTGTTCGAATTTATCCATATGTGTTTCACAGCTTGTTCTGTACACCTCGACGTTGATTGGTTCTTGTTGACCTTAAATTTGTCATTGTTTCCTTTTTTATTTTGGTTGTGTCTCCCATTGGTCTAATTTTTGTTCCTATATCTGTGTATAATTTTCCTGATTGGTTGGTAAATTTGATCGATATCAATGTGCCTGTTTATTGCTGATTGACCTGAGTGCCAAACTTCTAAAAATTCTCTGATGTTTTTGGAAACCCCTCTGTCCAAGATTTCCGTATTTTTCCAATCGAACGAGTTCGTGCTGATGTCGTTCAGAAGAACGATGAAAGCTCCATAACTAAACCATCCAGCTCAGAGAACAAAACCCCACCAAAATCGTCCACCTGAGCTACAAATCGTCTCCACCATCTCAAAAAGTTATTTGATTTACAGAATGAAATAAAGATCTACATTGAATAAGTCAATATCCCATATACAAGAAATAACATGAATTAATATCTGGTGAAATTGTTGTCTTTTACAGTAAAAACTTGATGAGTATCTATAATAACTTGTTGAGTTTGTGAAGAATAATCCTCAACTTTAATTTTTTTTGTCCAAGTCACCTATTCATAGTAATGTTTGCATGTCATAGTAAAAAAGTAACAAAAAAATCGGATTGAACAGTTGGTGAAT